TATTAAGAGATGATATGATTGCATAAGAAGTTTAGTGTCTAGCTGTAAACAAGATGAACACATAAGACAGAATATAACTAATAAAAGAACTCAAAAATGTATACCAAACTTTAATCCTGATTTTAAGCACCCACATATACCTTATGACTACATCTGATAACCTGGAAATATAGTATATGAGCAAATCAAATAAACCATCTAAAAACAACTTCAAAAGAACAATCCTCCTCTTTGATTTTCAAGCCAATAGAAAATTTAAAGTGAATAATGGCTTTACAACAGCACAGAATTGCAAACACTTTGAATATTCAACCATAGAGGACTGTTGAAATTCATTATGGCACACCCATCCACACCATGCAAATTCTTGGAGTCTTTACAAATCATGTTATAGAAGTATCTTAAATGACCTGGAACAATTTTGAAACACCATTAAGTGTAAAACCAGGATTCAATTAAACACACACACAATATGATTCCAATTTAAGAATAAATACATATATGTTTATATACCACATATATTTATTTGATTACTGAAAACGTATCAACTAAAATATTAATGATGGCTATTTCTGAGCAGAGGGTTAGAAGAGATTTTTATAGTCTTTGTGCTTTACCAATCTTCTAAAAATCTTCTACTTCAAAAAAATAATGTTATTTAAAAACTAAAGTTATTTTAAAAACAATTAATTGTGAGGAAATCTCTGTTGAGAAAACCACTAAAGATTAGCATTAATCAAGATGATGCTAGGGGTGCCTGGGTGGCTCAGTCCTTAAACGTCTGCCTTCAGCTCAGGTCATGATCCCAGGGTCCTGGGATTGAGCCCCGCCCCGCATCAGGCTCCCTGCTCAGCTGGAAGCCTGCTTCTCCCTCTCCCACTCCCCCTGCTTGTGTTCCCTCTCTCTCGCTGTGTCTTTCTCTGTCAAATACATAAATAAAAACTTAAAAAAAAAAAAAAAGATGATGCTATATGAAGTTATTTCACCTCATAATAAAAACTCAAAAAAAAAGACCTATCTGATTAATTTGAGCATCTAAAATGGAAACCAGGAATCAATATAATTGTTCTCTCTCAAATTATTGCTTCCAAAAGCCTTTCAACTAGGTCCAGCTAAAGAACTGTATAAATTAAAAACCACAATTTTTCAATATGTGGTTACTAAAAAACTCCCATATGGAGAAATTTATAAGCTTTATGCATCAAACCTTACTCATGTCAAGAAACTTTATGAGGAGAGTTACAAGATAAATGGATTTTCCTTCCAAATATGTAGCTCTATAATAGATGATGCTTGGGCCAGATACACATATGCTTTCTTAGGGAATCTAAGGGGGAAAAAAATGACAAAGTTGTATTTTTTTTTCCCTGCCACTGGAATATTAAATGAAAAAAACTCAGTCTGCTCTGTCACCAAAAAGAGAACTTTCAGATTCACAGAGCCTATGTGAAAGTTCAAAATTTCTCTCTTGAAACATTTATGAGAATATTGACCAATAAAAGTGCTGGCTACTACCATATACAAGACTACTTTTCTCCAGCATGATTATATAAGTGGTATTTAATTCAACTACCTCATTATCTTCTTCCTCTAAATTCCCTCAAGTTAAAGGCCAAAACATAACTCTTTCAACTGTAACACTTCCCTGAGCCTAAACTGGAACTGAGCTAAATTAATAAATATTCGTTGAACAGAATACCATTATAGGTCAGCTAATGCATTCACATGAAGCACTATGGCTCATAAATTTCTATTGTTAAAATGTACAATTCTTCAATAAACATAAGACAATGAGTCCTATTTGTATCAAATTAAATACAAGCTATACAGTAATTTATAATTCAAGATCAAATATAGTTGTATATAAGAATTCACTTGAACTGCTAAGATTAAAAAAGGAGCTGTGTGTGTGTGTTTGAGACTTTGTACATACACTTATGTATTTAATTCTTAGGAAGCATAGGAGTTTCTATCTTCCTGATTAATGAAGTCTTAGCTACAAATCTTCAATTTTACTTTGAAACTTTACATGTAAATCTTATTCAGGAAGAGTGGGTTTTGCATCATAAAAGTTTCATTCAGTTAAACTTCTCAGAGATTAATCTAGTCTTAAAAGCATGTTACTTCCTTTTTTTCTGGCAGAAACTATAGCTGTAAAGACAGACAACAGATTTATAGAACATCAATCAATATTCTTTTAGGGCTCAATCTTAACACTGACAAAAACTAATTTAGTCTACTTGCTACCAATGCTTTCAAGACAAATCTAAAAGCTTTGACAGTATTAGACAACAGTAAGCAAACCAAAGTGACTGATAAAGAAGATTCTACCATGTATCATTAGGAATAAATTTATAACAGATTTCCAAATCTTTCTTTTATGACAAAAAAGAATTGCAACACAGAATCAAATCAAATAAACTATGTTTATAAAAGTTACACCTATTATTCATATAAAAACCTATAGCTAAGAAGTATTTTTGATGATGTCAGTGGTGCCACTGAACAAGTTTCATAGCCTCGAATAATTTCAGCAGCTGTCATCATAATTCTGTCATTTATTATTGTCATTTACAAAAGATCTGAGGAAGGAAATAAACCAAATGGATGCTTCTGCCTAACTCAAATTTTATAGGATTCTGCTCTTTCGTTTTTAAAGTAACAAATCTCTTCATTAACACTTTTGACCACTGCTTTCCTTTCCCCAAAATGTAGACATTTAAAAAACAGGAGTTTTTGTTGTTGTTGCTGCTGGTTTCTTCTCAGGAAAGTACATTATTAATGACAGACAAAAAACATAAATGGGGTGCTCATTTTTTTGAGAGCTTGACATCATTTCTACTATACTCATTAGTATTTTTCATTGTGGTGATGATAATAACAATAATGTCATTTTTATGATTCCTATATAACAGACAGATGGAGTCCAACTGATCACTTTTATCAATGAAAAATATCCACAAATACAGAAATAGCTGGTTATGCAATGAGCCACTGTGAGAGATAAATGAGGGGTTTTGACTGCCAGTCTTTCTACCCAGTTATAATGTATCTCATTACTATTTAAATCTTCCATCAGTTTTGGGCGCCTGGGTGGCTCAGTCGTTAAGCGTCTGCCTTCGGCTCAGGTCATGATCCCAGGGTCCTGGGATCGAGTACCGCATCGGGCTCCCTGCTC